TGTCATCACATCTACTCATACAGTTTCTTCCAGTCTAATCTTCCAGTTAATCTGCACTTGTCATCACATCTACTCATACAGTTTCTTCCAGTCTATCTATGAATCAGATCTCATCATCTACGGGAAGTTCATCAAGTCATCAGCTTCCTACCTCTTCATCAACCCTCCGCCGGTCCTCAACCGGGTCTTCCAGTTCCTCCGGAGGACCTTGATGAAGCTGGTCTTTCAGCCCAGCCACGAGGCGGAGCGGGCGGGTGAGCAGGTGGGACGGGGGGTGGGAACATGTGAGCCCTAACAATCCAAGTACCTTCTCAGAAGGTACTTGGACCCTCCAAACCTACATAACAGTGCCTTCTGAGAAGGTACTTGGATCCCTAGGGGAGGTATTAAAAACCCTGGGTAGGAGGGGTGAAGAAGCATGATAGAAGCATGATAGAAAGACCAGAAATGGGCTTGTGAGATCCTAATGGAAGCACGAATCGCCGTGTTTGTGCAGAGTTTAAGATTCATTCTTGTCAGTACGGACTGGATAGCTCCTGTGAAGTGTTCATTGGCAAACCACGGTGTTCGAGTGTCCATGGTGTTTTGTGGAGGACTCGAAAGGGAGGAGACCGGAGGAGACCTGGGAAACCAGCTAATGTACTCTAGACTCTGAATGAATGCAAGAATACAACCCCGCTCAGACTTGGATGATAAAAATCATATAATTACTATATAGGTTGAAAAACTACGGTATCAAGAGTGTACAATACATGTGAGCTTCCTGGCTTCATGTTCTCATAGCATCCATAATAAGTAGAGCCGTTTTTTGTGGGGAGCGTTCCACCATGTTCCACTGGTTTGGTGACCCTGGTGGGGAGCACTTGGGCGTTGTCGTTGTGCCCCTTGTAGAGAAATTCACAAGACCAAAATACAGCCCAACTTGGTAGAGATCCAATGGTGGCCAGTGGTTCAAGGGCAATACCTATAGTTTAACACAAAGGCCTGTGGTGAGTTTTTTTTGTTTTTTTTGTTCACAACTGTCTTGAATTGTTCTTTGGTGCAGAAGTCAACGCTTACAACAGGCCTCTACCCTTTGCGTAAAACCAGAAAGCAAACAAGAAACAACGTTTCCCAGACTAGTTTGATCAACAAAGGGTTCCCCAAATCATTGGTTTTGATGTTTTGCGTTTCTTTACTTCATCGGAGTCATGACTGATGTTGTTTTTTGTGTGACCCTTTAGAGGCCCAGCCTAAGTGACCTCTAACTAGGGGATCAAAAGGTGATGTTGAAGAAGCACGGATATATTGATTGCATTTTGTTGCCTCAGCCTGTTTTGAACCCAACCATTGCAAATGCATGACACAATGATATCGATTTTAGTGATAAATCAACTTTTTATGTAATAATATCATGTAATATACATATATACACAGCAACATGTTATAATATGCTTGCATGCCTTTGCCAACTATTATTGTCATCATGTGTGATTGTAGTTTGCGAACCTCAGAAAGATCCCATCTTCCCAGCTCCAAACCCCCAAACCTGCACCTTTCCCATCCCTCGCATCCTTCACCCAAACCCGCCCCACGTCCACTCGCCCTCAGCCGCATCCTTCCCAGCCAACCAAACATGGAAGCCCAGCCCAGCCCACTTCTGGGAGTGTTTACCTTCGCTTTTTCCGCTCCGGAAGCCCTGGAGCCCACTTCCAGGGGTTGGGACCGCCTCCCTCGCTCCAGGCCATGCTGATGTTCACCTCGGAGCGCGAGCGTCCGGGCCAGTGCTGCCCACGCAAGGTGGTGCTCACCCTGCGGGGCAACGAGGCCGCGATCTGGAGCGGTGCGGTCTGAAGCGGTCTGGTGGCTGGCTCGGTTTGGTTGAGGCGAATTCTTGCCTATCATATCCGGATGATCACCATTATTAAGTAAATATATAGCTTTGGAGCCAACAAAAACGAGGTGCTGGGAATGTGTGGTAGGCAGGCAAGCTTGAGTTTTGAGATTGTGCTAACTCCCTGCATGAGTTGCGGTGCGGAAAAAAAATTAACGAACTATGACCCAGTGACAACTCCATGCAAACATTCGGAACGCTTTTTTGCCTCTCACACTCTTCTCCATGTGATACCTCTCTTACCTGCCGGAGGTCCGAGGTCATCCTCCCGCCAGGTGGCTGCGCAGCCGGTGGACGGCGATGGCGCGCCTCCGACGCGGAGACGTAGTCCAGGGGTGGTGTCGCAGAAAGGCAACTTGGCGATGTCCAGCTGATTTGTCTTCCGCTGGAAGATCTATGTGCGGCTTGTAGAGCAAAAGCAAAGCGTCTTCCAGGAAGTGGTCCATGCCATCAAGTGACATGATCTTCCCGGAGATACATCCCAGACATGACCAATGGGACTGGCTACATTGACTCAAACCATGCCGGGAGTCACGTCCGATGGATGGTCCAGGGATGGTTCGACCGAACGTCCATTTGTGCAACATGTTTGCCATTCAGCCATTCAAACGGGAGACATGTTGCACAGTTGGACAATCCAGGTATGGTTAGGGGAGGGTTTTGGGCACCAACGCCTGTTTTGGTATGGGGTCATGCCTGATTGTTCTAGAGTACTTCTTGGAGAATCCAGGTATACCAGCTTCTTCAGTACGTGACCGGTTCCTTGAAGGTTCCTTGACTCGTGACCCGTGTCCGGAGGCTTGAGACCGTGACCGAACCAACCAGGTTATCAAGTTCGGTCACTTTGAAGAACCAGGTAGACAATATTTCAATGACATATCACCAATCTATACAGCCTCATGTGGCCAATCTATACAGCTGCCCCAAGGCAACAAGGCGCAGCCGAATCAGGCGCGTGGACGCCGCGTGGACGTTGTTTTGAGGGGAGAAGGATCGGGGACAAACTGGATGCTTCTTGATATTTCTTATTTCTTTATTATCGTGCTCCAGCAGGGAGATGGAACGAAGCAATTCTGCTATATGGAACAACCAGTTTCTCATCCATCTCCTGGTTGGAACTGCACCTGGCGTTTCTCCGTGTTCCGGGTGCTGGTGCTTCGAGACCAGCGGGTGAAGCACAGGTTCGTACACCAGGCACCGGTGAAGTGCCTTGCCACCAGGCCAGCTCTTAAGAAATCTGTGGACTCTCAGAGTCTATGTGGACTCTCAGAGGTCACCACCTGCGACGTTCAAGTCTGCAAAAAGCCAGCAAAGGAGACCTGTAAGAGGGTCCTGGTAGAAAGGTCGTTGCTGGTTCCACGCCCGCTTTCACACCAGGACTGTGCTTTCTATTTCGATTTTAAGGACAGTGATGGCGCCAAGCTTCTTGGTGGGATCAGCCGTGCGGTCGAGTGATCGGGGATCTAGACAGTGTTTTTGTGAGTATTTTGTTTAAAGAGCCCAAATCCAGTCATGGTGATGCCATCTATTGTAGTATCTAATTATAGTAGCCATTATCGTATCTATTATTATGGTGATGGTATCTATTATGGTAGTATATAGTATATCTAATTCAGAATTTGCTTTGCCACAGCTTTGCGAGTGCCGAGCCTGAGCCTGGAGACAGGCCTCAACATGCTGAGCCATGAGACCTTAGGTTCGGTATGACTGGACGTACCTGGCACCCGCGCCCCGTCCCACGGAGCTACGACTGGAGCCCTCCTACCCTCCGCTCATTGGACCCTCATAACTCGCGTTTTGACCCTCACAGCTAGGGTTTTGGACAACATGTATAGCAGTTGCCTCGGGTCTGTGGGTATTTGAGGGTAGGGGCATCCGGAGCCGACGTCCTTCGACCTCCACCCGAGGATTTGGTGTGCCTGTGTCATGGATGGCCATGGGCCTCTGGGACACGAGATGTCCACGCTGGCCATGCAGTGGCTACCTTTGTTGATCCTTCGGGCGCCGGGGATTCGGAGCGGACGGGATCGCCTAGGCGCCTAGGAAAAAGGTATTTGTTTGAACTCGAGTGGGTGCGGGTGTTTTCCACTCACTGGTCACGTTTGGTCACTGAGCGGAATTGATGGCACTGGGATCGACATGCGGGATCGATGCGCCTAGATGCGCTGGGATCGATCTATGCAACGTATATCTTGAACTGGAGTGGGTGCGGTCTTTTTCCACTCGCTGGTCACTGAACAATGGTAAGTGTCCACTCACTTCCGGTTTCAGGTCAGCACAAACTTACATAAACCTACTCTAAAACACCAAGTGAGTGGAAGATTTACCCCCACATCTCCTCTTCAAGACCATCGATTACATGGTGTGGGGGGGCCTCCAACCACCCAGAATTGGTGCAACCTCAGTGATCCGTCAGTGGGAACTGCGTCGTTTGGGGAACTGTTAACTTATTCCTATCTACTTCCGTGAATCCTCTCCTGGAAGATTTGTTATATTTTTTTTTGGATGTATTTTCCCTGTTCCAGAGACGCCTCTACCCAAGTGCCCCTACCATTCCTACCAGCTCCTACCGACTGATCCCGTGACGAACATCCACCCCCTTCCTTCCACCCCCCGCTCCATCCGACCCGCGCCCACGTCCCCGCGCGCCTGTCCCACGTCCCACGTGCGCGGCTGGCGGCGTGAGCTGAGCCAGGAGCCCCTGCTGGCCTCGGAGCCGGGACGTCTCGTGCCGTTGAACCCACAGACCGCCACCTGGACCGGGAGAAGGGTGGGGAGAGGCGAAGGAGGGCGGGGTGGGGTTGAAGGGTAGCTGAAGTATTGAAGCGCAGTGGTGAACAGATGCGGACAAAGACACTTAAGATACAACATACGCGATACTGTACTAGAGTAAGCCAAAATCAGCATACTCCTGTCGGCCCTTTTGCTTCCCTGAAGTTTGATAGGACTGGGGTTTGGGAGACCTTGTGAGGATGTGGACGTAGCAGGTGGAAGCGGTTCACTTGGGGGCGTAAGTGGTTCATCCGAGCTCCAGTCGGGCCAAAAGCCAAAAGACGATCCCCAGAGCTCCAGTCGGGCCTTCTGAGAAGGTGGGACTGGGGTGGGTGCCAGGAGGGTCCAGTCATACCATCCGAGGAGGTACAACTGGAGCCGGAATTAGAAACACCGATGCCCAAATCGGCTCCACTTCGGCTTTCACCGCCGATTGAACTCGGCCCAGGGACCGCAGCCCGGTGCAGTGCTGAGGTCTTCTCAGCCATCGAGGCGGCGTTCGAGAAGATGGGGACTTTGATGCAGTGCCTAGACCGTGGATCCACCAACGTCCCCAGTTCGAGGAAGGGTAGGCTTGGTAGGGAGGAGCTGGAAGAGAGCCTTTACGTTTTGGAAGGGGTGATTGAGGGGTTGGGGCTTTTGGGGAACATGACCCACAACTGGAAGGGGTTAATTTGTAGATCCGCTGGATGATTTTTACCCTAGGGCTCCAACCACCTTCTCAGGTTCGGTAGTTAGACCCCTCTGGCACCCACCCCACCCACCTTCTCAGGAGGTGGTTGGAGCCCTAGGGTTATTGAGGAAGCAAGTCTTTTGCACATATTTCCTGGTCAGCACCCTTTGGCACGGCCTGAAGGTGATCCTCCCTGAGCTAGTCCCTGAGCTGTCCCCTTGAGCTGTGTAGAAGTAGACATGATCCTGTAGTCAGAACTATACCAACAACCATGCAGAAGTCTTTGGAGATCAAAGGCTACACCCATCGTCCCATTGCCAGGAGATATGCCAGAATAAACTACAAGTTTGAAGCAGATCTCAAAGAAAAATGAACCAATGCCTTGCTCAAATCCTTCAAACAGTGACTTATCTTTTCCGTTCTCCTTCTTGTTAGGAAGGCCTCCTCCTCGGGCTGGGGCCCCCGCAGCTACAGCGGCGCCACCTGCACCTTTGCGCTCGGCGCTCGGGGTTTGCTTCACACGGCGAACATCGGCGATTCCAGGCCGAGCGAGAACGAGGGTGTCCGGATTGCGTGTCGCATCAGAGTTTTGGCAGGTGCGATCGATGAAATCACAACACCAAAAACCTCATGGGCCCTCATATGGAGGGGTCTGGGGTCTCAAACCCCTAGGTTTTGAGGGACCAAGGGCTGTTTGGAGCGTCTGGGACACCAAAAACCTCGGATCTTTTGCTAGTGTAATACCTTGTCACTGGAGCAGTGTTTCTGTCGGTTGCTACCTTTTGAGGATGTAGTTCCGGAGCCCGTCCTTTTTGCGGCTCGTTTAATAGGTGATTCAGCTGTGATTTCCCCTACAGGTCAATTACCTCATTTTACTGGACGTGGTCATACAAAAAACACTACTTAATGAGGTATAAAGACCAGGTTTTACTGGGTCAGACTGGACTTGTAGGGTTCCTCTTTCGCTCCAACCGGCGGCCACGGCGCCAGGTTAGTCCTGGGCACCTTGTCTTCGAGCAAGTCTGTGGACTATCGCCTCCTCACCAGAGACCACAAGCCCGAGGAGCTGCGGTGCTCTCGCCGCCGCCTTCGGGGCGTTTGACCGTCCCCATGCGTCTGACCGTGTTTCGTCAGGGTCCTTAGCCTAGCCTGGCTGCCGACGCTGCGATGTTGTAAGGGTTCAAGGGTGTTAGCCAGCCGTTTTGAGCTTCGGGGCTCCGGAGCGGTGCTCCCCCCAATTGGGGAAGCATGCCAGCGATCTCAATGGCCAGACATCTACGAAGCCTTTGCGAGATAAAAGCACGCGGATGAGTTCTGAGATGAGCACAAGGTCTTATTCATTTAGTTAATTTCATGTATAGATCGATCGTCTATGCCTCTCCATTTGGCCAAGACCTGATTCTACACCTGACCACGTGCATCTACCCTCAGCCGTGCATAGTGTACCTGGGGAATGTTCTATTTACATCTATTTACCGTGGTTCCAGGACTTGGGGTGTTGAGTTTTGAGCGCACCCAGTTGGACAACCGGTGGCTGCTTGAAAATGACACGCCAACATGCTGGTGGTTCTTTTGCTCTTCAGCATGTTCAAGCTTGATCATGCCCATGGATACCTCGAAGATCCCGGCAAGAGACTGAAACGGGGTGAATACGCCTTGCCTTCAGAGAAGATAGATATTTACGCAGCAAGGACCAGTGCTTCATTGACCCCATCTAGCTAGATGATGTGCATTTGTGACGACCCTGAGAAGCGAATGAACGGGACCTCCTCTCAAATCCGTTCTCTGTGGACGTTGACAGCGGCATGACGAACGCCGAAAGGCATTGGGTTTCCTGCAGTGATTTTCACCGTTGATGACAGGAGTCGGGGACTCCTCCGAACCGAACTCACGTCCCGATGTGTTTGTCGTGAGATGTCTCGAGAGTCTGGAGAGAACGTCTTGAGAGTCTGGCAGACTGAAACCATGGAGTTTCTTTCAGGTCACCCTTCAGGTCAGGATTGGCATATTGGGGAAAACCTCACTCCAAACCAACAGGTGGAGTTCGTTCGGTTTCAATGGTGTCCATCAACGCATCCGTCCTTGAACCGGCCACAGGACCCCGATGAGCGTGTACGAATCGAAGCACAGGGTGGTATTGTCGCCCGCCAGCGCGTGCGCCTCGGAGAGGTTGGGAGGTGACCTTCGAAAGCAGTTCCTCTTGAGCGAAGAACCTGAAGTCTTCATGTACCCAGTGGATTCCACTGGTTACCTACGAAGGATTTTGCCTGGATCGCCTGGGTAGGGGGGAGGTTATGTATTGGAAGGGCTCCGAGAATTCAAGAATTCATGTGACATGTGACATGTGTGTTTCCCCAATATTTAGTGGGAGGAGAAGACAATAACAAGTGAAGTGAATTGATCGTAAGTTGTGGTGAAAGGACCCCATTCTGCTGTAGTGTAGGCTGGCATCACTTTGCTACTGTAGTGCAGGAAGGCTTGTTCAGCAATAGTGCTGCAAATGTTGTTGCAAAAAGTCCTTAACCACTTGAACGGGGAAGTTCAGGCCATGCACACTTGGTTTTTGGGGCATTTGGTGGAGAGTTTCTTCCACACGCATTGACCTGTTGTTGTTTGTTCCGGCTAACGGTTCGTAAACCTCGCAAACGCACCCTGACCACCCATGAAAGATCATATCATGAAAGCATTCCTGGCAGCTTGCAGATGTTTTTTGGGGGTGAAAGGGGGGCCAGAACAAACCCAGCTCCCTGGGTGTTTTCGTTGGCAGCCTCTGAGGTATTTGGACGAATGGCCTTATGTGGGCCTCAACATGTCCCGGTCTTTGGGAGATGCCAAGCTCCACCAAGTGGGCGTCTCTGACGTGCCCGATGTGAGTGCCTTGGGATGAAGAAGGAATGCATGGACCTGGTTTGGTGGATTTGAGGCGCTTCCCGAACTGGTTGAATCCAAGCACCTGGGGAATGTGTTATTCTTTCCAGGTGCCTGAATAAAGCAAATCCATGAGAACCAGTGACCCCAAGTGAGTGGATCATACTGGACGTGACAGGGGTACCCCTACCCGACCCCAAGTTCGGCACCGCTGTATCTACAATGTGTGACTGTCCCCTCCAGATGTTGCCATGCCAACAGAGGTTGCAGGACCCGACTGTTCGACTCTCCCAGTTGGGTACCTCAGGTGACGGGTCCTAACGGGTCCTACAAGGTCACACAAAAGCCTCTCACTTGGACGATCTTGGACGTTCGGCGTGTCGTCGTGCAAAAACGGTGCAGGCACGGTGTTTCTGGACGCCGTCAAAGGCGAAGAGGAGCACAAGCCGCAGCCGCTGGGTCGGAAGTCGTATACCCTCCCTCCCGCAAACAAGTGGGCACCTCCCTGTTTGGTATAAGGACGAATCGTCGTTGGGGCCATGCCGGCCCCACATAAACTATGCTGGTCCCCCCAAAGATAGGGTATGATTGGTATATGTTGGTATGGTCACTGATTGGGGACATTTGTTTGGTTTGAGGATCAACCTGGGTCTATCATGGCCATGCCATCCACCAAAGCCATGATGGCAACATCTATCCCCAAAGCGTGAGTTGTCTTCGGTTGAAAGCAGAGGTTGCTTTGTGCGGACAAGCACTCGCTTGTGCACTGTTGTTTTTCTCGCTTATGCACCGGAAATGGAGCATACTTTCCGTTGCACAAGCGCGTGTTCCTTTGAGTTTGTTCAGGAACGTTGCGGTTTGGGAGACACATATCAATGTCTGAACCCAATAGATAGTTTGGCGGTTGAAGCTCCTTTCACCTTCTCCCCTTTGATTCCGTGCGCAGATGGGTGTGCTTGGCCGTGCGCAACGAAGGGTGCCCAACAGATGAGATAGATGGGGGTTGTCCGTTCTGACCTGTAACAGTCGGTGAATTATCACTATTTTAGAGAAAGGCCTGCCACCAGGCCCCATCATCATTGTTACAGGCATTAGGATATACCCAAGGGCCCAAGGGATAGAATCAAAGGGAACAGTATAGAGGACTTTTGGTCAATAGCCTCTTGGGGGGTGATTCGGAGTGTCCCAAAACCACCGAACTTGGAAGGTCTTTTTTAGTTCAAGAGCGTCTTCTTACTGGCATATCCGTCTTAAAACAATGAGCGCCCCAACAGAAAATCATGATTGACTCCTCACTTCTCAAACAAAAAAAGACTTTGGGGGTTCGCTGCTCCTTGGTATGGGGAACCCTAGGAGCCCTCAAGGGACTGCAGATCAGGACCGATATCGGAGGACAGATCAGGACCCATATGATACCATCGAGAGTGGAAACCTGCGGGGGGGTCATGTTCGTTGGTGGAAAGTGTATTTCGGGGGGTCTAACCACCGAACCTGTGGAGTTGTAGGGTTCAAAGGATTCTGGAAATCACCGGGCTTGGCGCTGGTTGGAGATTCCAAGGTTCCTGGTCGTGGCCTCTGATGGTGCACCCTGGCAAGAGTTTGGACCGTTTCCGGAGAAGCTAATCGAATTGATGAAAAGGATGAAAAGGTCACTTGAAGAAAAAGTGCTCTCTCATAGAAGGCAATGCATCAGCAAGAAGATAAGAGTCACAGACGCTCGATGTATACAATAACAGCCTCAATGTACAGGTGAATATGCCATGCGAGTATTGGGAGGCCCTAGATGTTACCCCACATGCTACCCACGATATCAAACTATAGTACACATGCAATACTTGCATGTAACACACAACACCCATAACAACCGTATACTACGGTGTTGGTATGTTATCCTCCCTGTGACCACCATGGCTTCTAAAGGCACATGGTCTTTCTCGAGGGCTGGCGCTGTTTCAGGGGGGTTTCTGCGGACCCGGGAGGGTGGTGTTCGAGTGGTGAGGAGCAATGGGTGTGGAGTCTGGAGTGGTTTTTTTTGGGGGCCCATGGGATCCGCGTATAGTCTATGTAAGATTATCTAGATCAGTCAGGATAGTGTATATATATATATATATCTGTAATATATATATATATAAATTACTTTGAGGTGTTTGGTACCTGTTTGGTAGTTTGCAGTCTCCATGTTTGACCCAAACTTGGCAGATCGGGTCCAGCTGCCAACATCGCGTGGCTCAGGTAGGTGACTTCACCACGGCGGAGGAGGCAGCGACGTTGGTGGGCCGCTGCCTGCGCAAGGGCTGCTTGGAACAGTGTTTTCTTTAGGGTTTCTGGTGTTTTTTGGGGTGTAATGTAGACTCTTGATTGGATTTCAACCCCCCATATGATAAGTCTAAAGATGTCTAAAGCAACATCATGGCACCAGGAGACCGACCGGTTAGAGGACCTGGTGGAAGGTACAGTGAAGACCGCTGATCTGGTGGAGGCTCCAGGTGCCATGCCCCAGGTCGGCTCGTTTTGGTTGGGAGGGTGAACTCTAAGCCTATGGGTCATGGAATGAGAAAAGCCTCTGAGACCCAAGCCTATGGGTCTCTAAGCCTATGGGTTTTTGTTGGGGGGGTGAACTCTAACAAACTGAGTCTACACTCCCTAGACCTCCTGCCCCACCTTCTCAGGTAGGGACCCGGGTCCTCAGCCCCACCTTCGAAACGGAGGTGGGCCAGGAGCCCTTGGGACGGTTTTTTGAGAGAAGCCTCAATAACATTGATGGGATTGATTCATCAAGCCCCCTTTGTGATTAGTGATGGGCAGCTTACATGGATGGGAGTGTTGCCTTACTTTTGAGGGTGGCATTCATTGGTCACTTCACTTGGCCATTCGAGTCACCTCCAGCCGAGGCCAAGGCCCACAGACAGCTGCAGAGATGCTGGCCACTTGGACTGTCCAAAACCGCTTCGAATTTGGATGCGAGCCAGGTGGCTGGAGCGTGTTTCCAAGCAGGTGTGCATTTCAAGAGGGAGGTCTCCTGCGGTAGTCTTGAGGCTTAGGAGCGTGTGTCCAAGAAGGTCGCAGCTGCGGTAGTCTTGAGTGAGAAGATGGTTGGGGTGGGTGCCAGGGCGGTCGAACAGTCTAACCACCTTCTGAGGATATGGTTGGAGCACTAGGGACAATACCCATAGGGTCCAGGAACCTTTGTACTTCGGATGGTCGAACGGATGTGAGTTCATGCTTGCAGAGAATGGTCGTGGCCTGGGGCCAAATCGCACGCAGGACGTTTGATTCGGATGGTCCTGGACCCTTAGGGAGAACTACCCGGGCTGCCCGGGCTTCTTGCTACTTACGTAGCTTCTTAAGAATTGTTACTACAATAGTAGTAATGGCCTCCAACCTAATAGCGATGGTCTCCACCTAGTAGCTTCTTGCCACTTAGTGGCCATTGCTTTTTGGCCCTCTCGCTTCGTTCGCTTGCCATCCCCACAGGTGAGACATGCTCAAGAGGCTTGGCAGGCTGAGACGCCGGAGCTGGACCGCCGGAGCTGTTTCCGGCCGCGCGGCGGGCCGCGACGTACTCAGAGCATCTCATGTTAGCTCGATCAGAGTTATATACCTTTGTAGGACACTTCCCTAGGGCTCCAACCACCTTCTCAGAAGGTAGTCAGACCCCCCTGGCACCCACCCCAACCACATTCGAAACGGAGGTGGGCCAGGAGCCCTAGGGTTTATACCTGAAAGTGACCCATCCATCTTAGGTGAACCGCCAGCGAACTTAGATGGTCTTAGATGGTCCTGCAGGTCACCCAACCTTTTGGAGTCACCTGTTCAGGAAGGTACGTGGATCGCCTGCAGGTCACCCAACTTTGGAGGATTGGGGCGCGCGCTTATATAATCTTATATAGCTTGTCCGTTCGGTCACCACGTGTTGCTTCATGTTGCCAGCGCCTTCACGCGACCGCACGCGACCTTCGGCTTCGGCTTCGGCTTCGTTCAGCTTCAGCACTCGGCTTCCTTCGTTCCCATCCGTCCGTTCGGGTTCGGGGGGGGCAGAAGATGGGAGGGGCACCGAGACCTTGAGAGGTGCTGTTAAGGGGGTGGAAAGACTATATATGCTTCGTAAATGTCGAAACCTGACACCAGCAGACCTAACAATATACCTATAGCAATTCCTAATTTAAGATGTTTATTAATGATTTGGTCAGCTATTGATACTGCTATCGATATATATATAGCTGAATTGACAAATCTTGGTTTTTTCCCCCTTGGCTTCGCAAGACCGACCGACCTCTGCTCGCGCGGCGGCTTTCCGTGGGCGCGGTCAGGACGATATCACCGCGATCGTGGTGGACATCGACTAGGCCGGTGAGACTTGGAGGTCGGTCCCCTCAGTTCACACGCGGACGGTGGACGTGGGTGTATGTGGGTGTGTTGCTTCCATTTCAGCAGCGTTTATAGGGTTTAGGATCCCTAGATTGATGGATGTTTTTTTTTTTTTTGAAAATCCATGGAACTGCGTGGATGGTTTGGGTCTCAGACCACGTGTGGATCTGTGGCCTGGCTCCTGAAAAACTGTTCCCCTTTCGGTGAAGGTGACTGACTCGAGGGCCAGTTGCCTTGGAAGGGATGTGGTGGTGGCTGGGAGGTCTAACAGTCTAACAGGCCCCCAAATGCCTCCAAGAAGTCTTTCACAAGTCCAGGACAGACCTTCAAAAATGCCTCCACATGTCTCCAAGACCTTCAAAAAGTCCAGGACCGTGAGGAAGAGGCTTGTACCGAACTGTACCTATACTTGCATGGGTAGCTGAGAGTGCTGGTATCACCTTGGGCCCTCTCCAAAAGCATTTGGGTTGGCCACCAATTCAGAAGTGAAACCATGTGAAACCGGGGCACTGCAGCAGCCCAGCCCAGCCGCAGGAAGCCGGCGTCGCCCGCTCCGCGGACGTCACAAAGTACTGGACGACCTGCGACCGCGGGCCGCCTTCGGAGCGCCCAAAAGAAGGGGCCGCCTTCGGAGCGCCGACTGGACGACCTGCCACGGAGGAATTGGATGGAATTGGGAACTGGTTGAAGAATCACTCACCGGTGTGAGAGAGCAGGGATCGTCGAACGAGCCCAGAGCTGCTTTGCTGTGAAGCTCCTCAGAGTTCCTGCATGATCCAACCGATCTGGTGTGGGTCGGACGGTGAGTCGAACGCGGCACCCTCCATGTACCATGGTCCCAAGGTTGTGGGCCCACACCCACAGAGGCATGTTTGAAAGACTTCTTCCTGCCACAGAGGCCCTAGCCTTCAAAGACCATTACAAGATATTACAAGAATGGGACAGACCTGGTGATGTAGTGTCCAAAATCTATTAAACTATATATAGTTCTTTGGAATTCAGACCATTCAACCAATGGTGCTTTGAATCCTAGGGTTGAAGCTGGCTTCAATATGTCAGGCGCCATAAAGTCCGAGGAAAGCGTGGCTCAGGTGCGCGTTCGAGGGCTTCGCCAGGCAGCGGGTTGGTAATCGCATGTAATTGCTTACTTTTGGGGGTGACCCCCCCAAGTATAGGTGGATGGGAGGTACAGTTCCCCAAAATGGGTCTATATATTGGGCTGGCGGTCAACTGAGACAATTCAGGGTATGCATTTCCCATTTTTGTCTAGAGAAAACATGTCTAGAGCAGATGCCATGCTGGTCGAGACGAGACGAACCAGACGTGAGGAACCAGACCGACTTCAGACGACTGGACCCTCCGTCGATCTGCGGAAGCTGCCGAACCGAAAGTGTCATGAGTTACTACGACTGGAGCCGGAGGTTGATTTGGCTTCTGGAGGCACTAGCCTCCCAACAATCATGGAAGTGGACAACCCGTCTTGGTAGAGGAAAGTAGTCTTCCAAGGGGCCACTGTCCACTTCCATGATTGTTTCAGGGAGGCACGAAGTGCGTCGATCGCTGTCGGGCTTCAGGAACGTCATCGACACAACCCGGGGAAGAGAAGCTCGCACCGGCGACACGTCGCGGCAGCATTCCTGGCAAGACACATGGTTTTGGTATGTGAACACCTGTTTTGGGAAACAAGCTCCACTTCAATCCACACGCCACACGCCACATCTACCAGCAAACCGGACATGCCTATGTAGGCTCCACAGCACTTGCATCCCACACGAGAACAATAGGGCCGTTGTTCTTTTCTCGCACTCACCAGGGGGGGACTGGATGGACTGAGGTGAACGGTTCGGTTTGACTGGTGCTGATGGTTTGCATGGTCTGCTATTGAATTATTGGGTTAGCAGTTTGCACATGTTTAGAGCTTGTGACATGACCTTAGCTGATGTTGGAGTCAGAGATCGTCAGATGTCGGAGTCACATTGGTCGACATCCTCAGTCACCACGAAACCGCCGCCGGTTTCGCCACTGCCGGTTTCCCCGCTGGATTCTCCGAACATCCGCAGCAACTGCGGTGTTTGGGTCCGCACCGCGAGAACGACCACTCACGGGATCTAGACCAGCAAGTCATCGGCAGTGATCTTGCAGCAAACTGTCAGTACAGGGCAAATCCATAGGTGTTATGAAGTACAAGATGACTCAAGATGGCTTCACAGGGCAAATCCATAGGTGTTATGAACACATGAATCCATAGGTGTTTCACAGCAGCACACACACCAGCAGTACGCAGTACATTAAAGCTGTTCCTTCCGATGTTTGTGCTGCTGTGATGTTCCGATGTCCTAGTGCTTGTTTCCGATGACAGTCAGATGTGTCGTTCAAACAGCCATCAGACTGTTGAAGCTGCTCCTTTCTGGCTAGCACGGGGTCTTCACAGAAAAGCAACTTCAAGGACATGAGTCAGCTTTCCATGAGCAGCTGTCAGCAAGGCCTTAAGGGAAGCAACCCAAACCACGCAGCAGATTGGGAAGAGGCACTATGTTTCACCAAATTCTGCGATGAGCCAACGTGACAGACTGGTGTTGTGCTGCCGTGGCTGATGGGACACCAGGAATTGCAAAGGGATACATGTTTGCCGCCATTTTTTGTTGCTTTGGATTGTTTTTTTTGAGCAATAGCCGGGAAGGGACGACCATTTCTCCGATGTTTGTGGACATGATTCATGATTGTTCTATCTACGTTGGAATGGTTTTCCTTTGATCCCCACTTGAGATACCCTCTTCTTTCGCTTTGCTGTTGAAACGGCAGCCATGTTTGTCCGGCAGAATTGCCATGCCTGTTTCGGATACCTACGGTGGGGCTCAGTAACGCTCCAGGAATCGATCTACCAAACGCGGTGAGGGTCAATAAACGGGGGTCAATAAAGGAGTGTTCTTCCCCTAGGGCTCCAACTACCTGAGAAGGTGGTTGGGGTGGGTGCCAGGGGGGGTCTAACTACCTTCTGAGAAGGTGGTTGGAGCCCTAGGGTTCAGTACTCATGGAGTGTTTGGGCTGGGATTGGTACAAGCAAGACGTTTTTTCCGCACTGGTGTTCGAGCTGACCGAACGGGCATCCGTCGTGAACGAGGCAGTCTCATCACACTTTGTGTGAGGGTTGTTTGATAAGAGATCTCCAAAACGACCGTGTGATACGACCTTATGCCTTTCTGGAGAATCCTAACAAAGTCACCTGCACAAGCGGAACCTTAAGGCAGCAAGCAACGTGAAGAAGATTCGGAAGATTGAGCTTTCTCAGCAGGGTGAGCGTGTTGATTCTGCTCAATCTGCCGTTGGTTCTCTCATCAACTGACCCTATACCTTTGCTGTCAAGAATCTCCACTTCCGGCTTTTCCTGGTGTTGTCCCCTTTTTTTTGCGCCCAGGAAACGGCGGTAGCGAGCTGGAAAGGCCCAGAGATATTGGAGTACCCGAAGGAGGTGTCAGCGAGGAAGAGTTGCACCTCGGAGAAAAGCGTTTGGCACTTGGCGACCCGCGTGGTGGGCAACTTCTCAATCTGTTCACTTGTCAGTGAGGGCGATTGAATCCATCAAAGATTGTACTATAGAAAGGTGAAGCTTGCAAAGATGTATTTGACTTCGTTCGTTGTTGATGTGTCCTTTTGCCGTTCCAGATATATATATATATATAGTACACAAGTATATGTCAATTGACTCTCGGGTAAGCAGCTTGTCATTTAGCTCTTGGAAGGTCATTCCTGCGCTTGTCGCAGGCATCAGTTCCTGCGCGGATTGCTTCAAAATGAGAAGGCTGGATGGCCGCACAGCTGGTTCTTCAGTGCAGGGCACAAAGTCTCAGCACCCACTGTTCACCGACCATGAGCCATACAAGACAATTCCAGCACCTTCGATTTCACACCTGTTCCCCGATTCTCATGCGCACCTATTTGCATGGGAGCATTCTTGCGATAGTCCACGAATGGCTTCTTTGTTTCTTCTTGTGAAGTATTATGATTCATGGAGGGCCCCGTGACAGCTGTTCATTGTTCCAGATCCTTGGATGATGGTGGACAAAGACTGAATGTAAGGCCTCAAATGGGGCCAGATCAGGTAGACCTTGCCTAGTTAGCTGATGACCATTTCCAGATCGGATGAGACCAACCCCGAGGTCCAGCTGTTTTTGCTTAAGGCTTAAGGTGATTGTTTACTTTAGCCTATTGGACGATCCCTTCCTGGTGGACATGTTTATTTCTTTCCAGCTCTTTGATCAAACCCAAGTCCATCATCAACCCAAAAGCCGTACATTTGCAGAAGGTCCTTGGTCGCTGCGTAGAACGGAAGATGCCACGTGACCCGGTTCAAACCTGGACCCCAGCTTCGCTCGCACCCATAGTTCAATGGGACATGACCCGCACAAAAAGAGCAGGTACAAACGTACCATCTACCAGCACCTTCAGTACGTGACCCTTTGATATCCCAGGATTTTCAGTCGCGAGAAGGCCTGGAACAGGTCACGTATACCACTCCTGAAGAGGTCACTGGGAAGGTGGTAAGTGACCCATTTTCTACGAACAGGTTACAAATCCAAGGCACCTGGACCCAAACCCACCCCAGTCTCACCTTCTGAGAAGGTACGACTGGATCCCTAGGCTTCAGGTGCTTCAGGTGCCAGTCCATGCCCCCAATGGCCTCCGATTCCAGGCTTTGGCCGATGTCTGTGGCAGTCTTTGCGACGAGGCCGGGGGCGCCAGGCGGCCGAGGAGTGCAGCATGTGGGAGTGAAAAGGGTGGTGAAATGAAAGTGGGGGTTTTGGGGTCATGGGTGCCTGGAGTCTCAATAGTACACCGGAAAAGGGGGTAGTTTAAAGCACCAGTTTTTTGTTGGGGTCATGTCATGTTCCATTTTCTAGGGTACTTGAAGTCGGATCCAGGTGGTTTGGTGATTTTGGAGGAGCCGTGGTGAGCAAAGATGGGAGAATGTTCCTGCATTGCAGGGGCCTCTACTGCGCTTCCACTTGTGAAATTGAAGCATCGCATGGATTCTTCAAAATCTTCACATGGGGAAATTGATGGATTGGAGGCTCTACACCCAAGATTCGCAAGCTGGTAAAGCCATGGGCCTTAGACTCTTGATGACACTTCGACCTTATGTAATATGAAGAAAGTGATTCGATATCCATGTTTGAGGTGGTTGTTCAGTTATTCATCAAAGAGTCATGCCACGACCTTTTTGGATGACAGGCCATCCAAACATATACTCGCCCACCTCTCGGATTTTTCGGCTGCTGAGTTTGAGGGGCCCGGCACTTTGAGGAAATCTTTTGGACCGTTCCCGCCACCTTTTTGGGGGGGAAGCAAAGGGCAGGTGAATCCAGACCAGGCCAACAGCATCAGGAGGTTTTCTCGCTCCCAGGCCGAGGCCTCCGAATCCATCGCAGACGACGGCGGAGTCCCTGCAGCATGAGGCCTTCGTCCCCGCCGAGTCCCTGCAGCCCCTGACGCAACAGTTGATCGACCGGCTGCGCTGCCGGGACCCGCAGACCTTAGCGCCTTGGACCGACGGAGTGTCCGTCGGACGGTCCGAGTCGACGATGGCGAGCCTTTTCCTAAGAAGGAGGTCAAAGATGGTCAAATGATGTCAAATGGGTTCTAGTTCCAGAGGTGGAAGATCAGTCCCTGAAAGCATACAGGGAAGATCAGTGAAGCACCCTTAGGTGTTCACCAACTGGATAAAAGCTGGAGTGAAGGATCAAATGTCCAATGATCTCGAATGAACCTTCGAGGCCTGTTTCCCAAGGACGTCAAGTAGAATAATGGGTGTTTTATTAATAAGACCCCGGCCATAGAGGTTTTACAATCCATGTTTGGGGGTTGTTTCTATGAAACATTTGTCACAGGTCTATGCTAAACTGGATAGCTACAAGCACAGCTACCAGGCATGGGGCACACACCGGGGCAACCGGCTCAGGGCAGAGCTACAGCTGCTCACACGCAGTTTTATTACCCTAGCGATCCAACTACCTTCTCAGAAGGTACTTGGACATTACAAACCTGCCTCCAATCACCTTCTGAGAAGGTACTTGGATCCCTAGGGTTGCATGCTCAGCTGCTACCGACCGTTGAAGCCCAGGAGCGCATCGGGGAGGTCTACTCCAGCTTTGCCGAACGTCCAGGCTGGGGGAGTGGTTGGAGTGTGCTCCAACCGACCCACCAACAGAGGTTAAGTGACCTTGTAGGACCTGTCACCTGCATTACCTATAGGATTCGGATAGTCTAGTTCGGGTTCTTCAACCTCTGCTGGCAGTTTCTTTTTGTTGGGGGAGATTGGACTATATTGGAAAGATGTATGGTTTCAGTGCAGGCCAAAAGTGTAATGAACGTATTCACGGGGGTTGGGGGGGGCTGAGGGGGGGGCTATGGTGCTTAGGGTTTGCTCATTGATAGTGTGCAAACAGTGTGCATTCTTATTAAGCTTCTAATAATTATTAATAGCAGCGCTATTAAGGTTTTAATAGGCTTTAACCACCATGGAAATGGCCTTTAATAAGGTCTTAGCAATAAGACCCTAATAAAGTCTTATTGGCCTTGGATAGACATAGGATAGCTTATCCAATGAGACCGCCCAATCCCAACCCGATGTTTTCATCCATCGGCTCCGCTCGATTTGGCCGCCGTTCCTTTCGGGGCCCTGGCTCCAAAAAGCCGGTGACTGTTCTTTGACAATCGATTGAGGGTTTCATCAATCATGAAATTTATAGGTAAGATATACTGTATATATATATATGTGTGTGTCCAGAATCTACCACCAGAAGTTCAAAAGCTAGTGCTTAGGCCTTTTGTGGGGTTCAATTTGAGGGCTCCTTTGGTGGCATTCCTGGCCTCACCAAAAGTCTTCTGGACAAGCTATTCAGGGCTTATCCATGGGTTACCCTAAAAACCTCCTGCCTTGCAGATTCCCCCTTATCCAAGGCTTATCGAGGTCTTATCCAGAAATTAGCCAGTGCCCTCAAAAGTTATCGATTTTGGTGCCTCAAAAGGTTCCCAAATTGATTAATGATTCATTGGCTGATAGATCAGCCATGATCAGCCCATACCAACTGGACAACCTGAATTCAATTCCTCTTTCCTTCCACCAAACAACATTGTGAGCAACAACATTTGCTGAGCTGTCGAATGGTCAAAATCCGCAACGGCAAAAAAACGTGCACATGTTTGTTTTGGAGGGCCTGCAGGAAGGGGGCTGATCTGATAGTTATTTGATGTTATATAATTGATAGCTTAGTCATTCTCTAAAAAGGCCTTGGGCATAAGGTCCATAGCCCCCCCCCCCTCAGCCCCCCCCCCCATCCCCCATGACGTATGGATGAGGGGGACACCGCCACTGAAATCTATACTGGGGCCCTCAGGGCTCCAACATCCCTGGATCAGCATGGTCCAACTCGAGGTGTTCTCACAAGATGATCCTACAGCTTCGTAGCTTTCACCGGCAAAAGACCGTACCCATCTTTAAGATTTGCTTGAGTTCCAGCTGACCCGTTCGACTTCCAAGACCCCCAACCAATAAATGGGAACGACCTGGTGTTTGTAGTGTAAAATTCTTAGTTGATTCGGGATGACCCGCCTATTAATGGTGGGCCCGGAAGCCTAGGGTTTGAAGCTCTAGGCTCTAGTGAATCGACGTCGACCCTCTAAAAGCACAACTGTGAACAGGCGGAATGGCCACGGCACTCCGCCGTCGCGAGAGCGGCCGACGTTCGAACCGTCGGTTTGTTGTGCGGAGGATTGACGCCCCTGGAGTTTCAAGGATATGTGGCTTTGGCCTGGAAGAAGTCGATATCTCTATGTTTCTGATCTTTTTGTATGTGTTCAAGGACATCGTGAGGAGCCCCTTCGACCCTGCAACCTTCTGGTTTAGAAGGACACGTATAGGTATACGCATAGGTTATGGTCTTCTCTGAGCTCATTGATTTGCATGACGGTTTTTGTTGGCACTGATGGATGATCAAAGCCGCTGTTTGAGTTCGGCCATGGGCAGGAAGGATCTCATACCATGGATCATGAATCTTATATATACCTAGAACCGATTTGACCTTTGTTTTGATAGGAAAAGACCATATTTTGGGTGGTTGGTGGTCCAAAATAGAGGTCACTCAGGTTCTAGGTATATATATATATATAACTATATCCAAATGTTCTGCCGAACTTGGCTGGTTTTATCGATGAACAGGCGCAAATTATGACATACCCAGACACTCCATGGGACTGGCATACGTACCTCGCACTCCGTATGTATCTAACCACCCCACTCCCCTGTTTGTAAGTATGCCGTTCCCATGGAGTGGTGTCTGGGATAGTTGGAAGATCGTAGGGCCTTCAAGCCTTGAAACCTCCCTGTCACTGTCTCCAGCTATCAGGTCGGAGGCCCCGATCCCCCCGGTGGAGTGGTTCCGGAACGGGTACGGCGCCGTACCTGCCCGGATCGGGGTCAGTTCGTAGCTCTGAACGGTGCAACGATGACCCGGCCTAGGCTTCCAACAACTCATTTGAATAGGCTGAATCCCGAATCAACTAAGGGTTGTTTCACTACACAAAAACAGTTCAACCATTTTTTTCTTGGACCTTGGAAGTCTAGGGGTGATATATCCTACTTGTTCATATATCCCTTTTTTCCAGGGTACCAACGAAGTCAGAGGCCGGTATACCTGTTGGATCATAAACACTTGTTTCGGTGTGTTTCCCATCTTCTTGGGTGGCCTTAAGAGTCGGATCCATCTCGGGAGAGTGCCTTGGTCGCTCAGGTCGCTTGCGTTCTCACGCAGATCCTGCGCCCCCTGGACGCGCGGAACGAGCCGCGGAACGAGCCCCCACGGGCGCGGCCGTTTGCGGCCACGTTGCAGGTGGGGCGCCACCGGACCGAGGTTGTGGAGAGAACCCTCACATGGACGAGGTGATTGATGACTCAACCAGGAGCCTGTCGGGGGGGTCGAAAAAATCGCCGTGCCTCTTAGAGATGAATTTGGGATGTCCGGGGAATAGGATTGCTAGCTGCTGCGATCCTGTACCCCTGGAGCTAGGGGGGATCTCCAGTTCTTCCCCATTCAGGGAGTGGGTGACTCGGAGCTACTGACAGTTCCCCCAGCTCCAAGCGATAGATTGAGCGACCCGCCCCAAGACTACACGTGAAGGCAGAAGTCTAAGCATTTCTAAGGCCAAGTGTTATCATAGCAAGGAACACCAAAAATAAAAGTGGAGTTCACCCACTGTTTATTCTTTTTAAAGAAAGCCGTTTGAACAGCCGGTGCTAAAATACATCAACGATCCAAGATCTCTTTCGTGCTGAAGACTCCAGGCGAGCCCGGCGCTGTTGAGAGGCCGAAGATACCGAGACACCCCATGAAACACGCGTCCCTAATGGTGCTTAGATCGGATACCCCTTTTTGGCATAGATCTGTGGGGAGGGGGTGGAGGAGGGGGATCTGAAAAAGTGAAGTTACATTCAGTTGGTCATGTTGGGGATCTGAGTCGGGCGACCCCATCGAGACGTGCGTAAGAATCCACTGCCACCCAGCAGAACTTCCCTTTGAAAGGCTTTAAAATCTCCAGGGGTGTTACAAAAACACAAAATCATCACAACGATCAGGAGCGTTCCCATTTGCGGGGGGGGGGAACAATTTCATTCGCATGTTCTGGAGTTCATCTCTTTTCACCGGTTCCTTCCCAACATACTTTAGCTCAGCCAATCCCTCGAGGCCGAAGCGCCGGCGGAAGCGCCTCCGCCGGCGGAAGCGCCGGAGGCGCCCGAGGAGTTGAGCGAGCTGCAGCGCTTGGCGAAAGAGCGGCCGAGCTGCATCGGGGGCTCCTGTTGTCCGAGAGCCTTGGGAGGCTGTAGACTGCAGGCCCCAAAGAAGAATGATGTGGATGTAGCATCCAATGTCTACAGTGTACAGCCTTTGGCCCGTTCGAGGATTAGGACAGACTCATGAATTGCAGACTTCACAGGCTAATACAGGCTATATTTAACAAATTTGACCCTACCGGACCCCTTTGACTGATGATTCTACTTTATCATATGTTATCTATATATGTTTATATGAAAGCATCACTGCCAGCAGTCACAAAGGTGTGCTTAATGGAGGTTAGGGTGCCCATGATCCACTCACTTAGGGACCAAACACCACCCCTTTGTGACTCCTGGTGTACTTGTATACTTGTCAAGTGTCTTGGCGCATCCCCCACAATCTACTGAACTATGAATTGGCCATCCCGAGACATATATAGTGATCCCAAGCAACTTGCTGAAACAGCAGGTAACCTATTTGGCCTACATATATGCCTAAATAGCCTCAATAGCGTGGAGAGTCGAACGTCCAAGCTGGTGGAGAGTCGTGAAGAAGCTGCAAACACAGCAACTCAAGAACGTTGAACGTGTCACCTTTTATGATCTCTGTAGGAGTGAGCATCCGATTGCAACTGTCCCAGCAAGTTGCCCTGCTTGCAGTCAATCCAACTGCAACACTGACGTGCGCAGCTAGCGTGCGCGTGCAAGAGGGTTCGAAGAAGTGGCAGGGGACTCAAGATATGGATCCAAATTCAGGACCGAAGTCTTGAGGTTCATTACAGGTTCGGTCTGAAGTCTTGTGTTTCTTTACAAAGTCTCAGGGAGACTCAGGTCCCTTCATTACATCCGAAGTCTTGTGTTTCTTTTGTCTTTTAACAGGCAATGGAAGCATCCCACTTGTCTCATACAGATTCGTGGAGGACGGGCCACGGAATGCGGGGAAGAGATAAGACTGGTTCAACCACCCAACAACCAATCCAAGCCAGCCAAGCCAACTCAATCAACTACCTCCTCCAACTACCTCACCCCCTGCATTTGGATTCTAAAACCTAGTCATCAGATGTTTTATTGATCCAGAATCCAGAGTCTACATTTCCTAGGGCTCCAACTACCTCCTGAGCAGGTGGTTGGGGTGGGTGCCAGGGGGGGTCTAACTACCTTTCGAAGATGTGGTTGGAGCCCTAGGCATTACTATGTCCACACCTGTCCCCTGACCTTCCTCACCTCTTCCACCCAGGTTGGACTCCTTGAACGCTTCCCTGACCGAGCACCAGAAGGAGCCACTTCCAGCCCCTATGGACTTGGAGAAGGCGCCAGCTCCCACCGAGGTGAAGGCCGAGACCGCCCATGAAGTCGAGCAGCAACTTTGGCAAAGTTGACAAGTCGCACCAGCTAGGTTTATCTATATGGGTTTCCCAAAGACTTGGGGCATCCATAGATTTGAGCCATATATCCTGGAGTGTGGTACCCGTTAACAAACCTGGGAAAAAAATCGGTACAGTCGTACCTGGTTTTACGGGTCAGGTTGTATGCTCTGAAGCCACTTTGGAGGGCCACGACGGTCCAGGTGGGTTTGAGACTTTGAGATGTGAGCCATTTCATGAGTCTGGCTCAGGGCCACTCAGGTTGGCTCAGGGCATGAAAATCACCCAGCTTCCCAGCTACCCAGCTTTCAAAAAACACCTGCTTTGGTCCAGTTCGTTCACTTCCAGCAGAGATGAGGAGAACCCGAACGTTCGACTATGCCAGTTGGGTACCCCAGGTTTTCCGGGTTCCGGTCACTGGCTACCTCTGTTGGTTCAGGAAGGATGAAATGGCTCATCTCCTGGCCAACTTGGACGACCTCAACAGTTCCCTTCAACCCTTGCGGCGCCGAGCTTCCCCCACGCGGGATGACACCGCAGCAGCAGAGCACATGGCTCCCGGGTGCGCGGCGGAGGCGGGGGAGCGCAGGGTCGCACAATTCTCATGCTGCAGATTGAAGTGAAATACGAGCTATCCCCAGGGATCCAAGTACCTCCTCAGAAGGTATTTGAGCCCTCCTGGCACCCAGCCCAGTTCCACCGAACCTCACGAAGGTACGGCTGGATCCCAAACGGGTATACCTAGATCTTCAGTCCGGCACTTTTACAGGGTCCGGCGCCGGATTGAGGTCCGGCACTTTTTTCCGCCCAAAGGAGGATCCAGGTATTTACCCACCACTCCAAACTTTATACTGTAGGTATAGCCCCCAAAAAAACATCCCAAAGGACCCAGGGAGGATGAGTGCGTCACTATGTTTGTACATACCGATGCACGACTCGATGCGAAGAACTGCTCGACCGGTCGAGCCATGGGCTGCTCAGGCCAGGCGCACGGCACTGGCTCCCGAAAAGTATGTCCAGGGCCCTCATGCTCATCCACAGCCTGGACATCCTCATCATCATCAACCAGGACATCCTCATCATTTGCAGCCAGGACATCCTCATCATCCTCAGCCAGCACATCCTCATTATCCTCAACATCCTTCCTCACCACCGCGTGACGTGGCACATTCCCTGGAGCACGTCTTCCCAGTGGCTCCGCAGGCTCAGCAAGCTCAGCAGGGCATGATGGCGCAGACTGCGCAGCATCGTCACGCAGGTCGCAGTCCACTGGGGCCAGCGGAAGCCTTCGATGCCGGCAACACTTATGCTGCTTAAATGAATCATGGACTGCAACTCTAGGAACCTGGTCAGGCGTTTTGGTCGTTTATGTGTGTGTTTTTGGTTAAAGGCGGATTCCTTTTGCTTCAGAGTCCTTCCAAAGATGATGTTTCAAGAGACCTGTAGACCTAGATCTCGACATGACCCCGTGGTTCGCAGCAGGTTCTCCCAGACACCTGAGAGTCGTGGCTTTTTTTTTTTTTTTTCGGAACACGTTGGCTTCACCCGTTCCTTCTTCCATTGAGCAGCTGACTGGTGATTTGTCGTTGGAGTGTCAACCATGAACCAAAGAGAAGGTGTGATCCAACTACTACCTTTTTAGGGAATCACAAGCAGATGCCATCAGTTAATTAACGTATTCTTTAATTGAAGTTGGATCCCTAAATTCTGGGTCGCCTCCTACTTGCCCGCCTACAAAGTCCTGTCCATCGCCCGGACGTTGGATCGCCAGCTGCAGGTCTCGGGCGGAGTAGGTGAGTGAAACCCCTTATTGACCAAGACCCACTTCTTGGGGAAGACCCGCTTCTTACGGGGAAGACAGGGGGACGGACCCACTTCTTAGGGGGATTCTATATACTGGTAGGGCTCCTGGCCGGCCCCTCCGTTTCGGTTCGGTGGTTGGGGTGGGTAGTTTTGGGCGGTGCCAGTGCCCACCTTCTAAGGCTATGGGACAGCCCTAAATAATCTAAAAACAGATCCCGATCCAACAAGTGAGTCCATTGACACTCCAAGCTTTGGATGCTGGGAAACGTCTTGGAAACTTCAGGCTCCCGGAGGGGGCGTGTTTGAGGCCCGTGCCCTGCGCGGTGGGGCTGGGGCTGCGGCACGTGGAGCTGGACTAGAGCGGCGGATGGAAGTGCCAGAGGTGGGGTTGGGAGTGGGCTGTTCCTATTCTGACCTCCACCCCCGTCATGTGTTATATACTGTATATATATATATTATATATACAACCTTGTTGGGTTTGATTGCGATAGCCGAAGCCTAACGTTATCCACTGACTATGGGTAATAGTATTTAAGTTGATGAATTGACAACCCTGGTGGTGAAGAAGCCAGTTTGGTCGATACTCGGCATCGACCCCTCGATGTTTTTTTTCAGGGCCAGACATTGAAGTTGGGAGTCCAATCCAGATTAGATGTAATCAGAAGAGCTATGGGATCTCCCCCCTACCAGGGCACTCAATTCTAGAGATGGTTTCATGGCTTTAGGTTCGATGTGCCCAGATGCAGTCTAAGGTGGAAACCCAACATAGGTCTGCCATGGTGTTTGCCGGCAGGAAGGACCGATGATGCCTGAAGCCGGACTGACCATGGAAGGACCGCCCATGGGAGCTGCCATACCGGGACCTATGCCGGCTGCGTTGGCGGCTGCCATGCCTGTGGCCAATGCCGTGAATTCTCGTTTGCAGGGTGCGGGCAAAGGAATTGTTCCTTGGCATGCGAAAGGGCGAAAACAAGAATCGACACAGAAATTGGCCTAGAGACCCTATCAATCCCTATCATGTGTTCAATCCCCTTGAGTGAGCGTCCGATGTGTTTTTCGGCTGTGGGACAACCCTGTCCCTAGCGGCCCTAGCTCAGTGTTCTTTTTGTATTGGCCATCAGAGTGGCCATCAGCTACATAGTCACTGGACACATTTGCTGACCTTTATAGTCGATTTTTGCCAACGCCCTAGTGTGGCTTGGAGTCCCTTCAATGATCTGTAAATCCTGAGCCAAACCCTCCCAACCAGACATCCATCCAGACATCCATCCACACTTCGACAGTTCGGCAACCGCCGGTCCAGGCCTATAGCTGGCAAGCCTTCGCTGAAACCATGGACAGCATCTTCGCCGGGGACGCCTCCAGCCACGCAGCCGGGCCGGAGCCCGAGGTGGCACTGCCGGAGGTGGCACTGCCAGCGCCGGCGCCGATGCCGGCACCGGAGGACGTGCCGTTGATCTTCCGGCAGCCGACGGTGGAGGAGGTTCGAGAGGCGGGATTGAAGTTGTGGAAGGGGTTAGGTACATTTGGTGAAGTGGAGCGGGTGTCAGAAACCAAAAGCAACCTACTACTAGTATGTAGTATGTAGTATGTCGTATGTAGTATGTAATATATAAGTAGTAAGTAGGTAGTAGGTAGTAGATAGTAGGTAGTAGGTAGTAAGTAGTAAGTAGTCAGTAGTCAGTAGTGAGTAGTCAGTAGTAGGTAGGTAGGTAGGTAGGTAGGTAGGTAGGTAGGTAGGTAGGTA